ATAATTATCTGCCGTGTTCTTTTTTCTTCATTTTATTAAATATTTGTTACAAGAATCTGATTCTAAAACTTTCACACCTATATTGAAGCCGAAGGAAATATTTAATATTGAACATTTGATTACTAAATTTATATAACAGTTCCTGTTTTTAGAAAGATTTATGCTAAAAACGTGACGACAGAATGCAGGCATAATGAACTTTGTCTTGTTTTATTAAACACATAAATAAATTCTAGTTTTTTTTCTACTTAGAATCGTATATTTCAATGTAAGTACTTTTTTATAATTTCGTGTTTACAGAAAACATTAGCTATATTTATTTTGATTTGAAAGATTAAAACAATAAAAAGATTGTATGTATTGATCTCGTCTCATTTAAATATGCTTTGCAAAACATCACGCACCGAGAACGCGACCACGCAGAATTACAGAATGTGTAGCGTTTTCTCCTGTCTGCTGATACCATCACAAAGAAACATGTGCAAGTTGTTAAGATCTACCAAACTTATATTCAGAATTCAATATGTTACTATATATATATATTGTTACGACAGCGGAGGTCACGTGACGGTAGTAACACGTCATAGTTTCGAAGATTCGTGAAGCCTCGAGTGTTTACTAGATTTTCGGTATTAGCTGTATATAAGACCGCCAAGTACTGATGGCAACAATGTAGTTGAATTGCAGATAGAGATAGAGACGGACAGTTGGGTCGAGCGCGTGAGTCGTTCGTTGTGAATTATAGCGTGACCGTGGAAATTAAGTGTATTGCAAAGTTGTATTCAGAAAGAATAAACTAGTTTTATTTAAGAAAGGACTTGTGTCGCTAAAGTTTCATCGGAAAGAAATTAACTAACGACCAGAGACGTAACAATATATTACATAAACATTATATTTTTTTTCTAAGGCACTTTCACATTTAGTTCATTGGCAAGTGACTCAAATCGTGGCTCACTTTTAAGGAACCTTTTTTTTTCAGGTTTGTTTAGGCTCATTTCACACGAGGAAATTTTAGGTGCCCTTGAGTTTCTTTTCTAAGTGAATTGAATCTTATTTATTTGGTCCACTCGCAGTTTTATCGAAACTACAGTTTTTTTGTTTCACATTGCACTTTTGCAAACACTCTCTGTTCTCTTTCTATTTACTAGAGCGAAAGTTCTCTCTGAGAAAATAGATATTTTCCATCATGACCAACATGAAGAATATATTACATGCTGTTGGTGCTTACAACATCACATTGTCCAAGAAAGAGTGTCTCGAATATGTCTGCAAAACAGTTCTCTTTTGGAGGAAATGGATGAACAACTGACTGAATTGCAGTGTTCAAATGCATGGTATAACACCACTTTTAAGTCATTAAGCTTTCTTTGGTAAATATATTGTATGATATTACATCACAGTAAAACTAATAATAATTTACATAATAATAGTGTGCCCATATATATATGTACACACACACATAAATATAAAATAAAAGACAAAGAAAAGCCACGGTGAAGTTAATATTTTTGTCTCCAAGTCACACTACAAAGTGTCATTTTTTCATAAGTTTGAAATTGGCTAGGGCTACTTGTGATAAACTTATGTAATTGTGTCACTCAAATATATTTTCTCGAAAGTTTAGGATGTGGCCATTGTTACGATGCCGTATTTTTGTAAAAACTTACTTGTGAGGCGCTGCAGGTGTATCACATGATTCAATGATGTGCAATTAACGGTTTTTAGCACGCGCGTCTCTGTAACGGTTTTTTGTTGTGTGTGTGTGGGGGGGGGTGTATATAAAGTCTCAAGTTTCCGTTAGTAAAAGAGAAGAGAATTGATTTTTGAGGAGTTTGGTTTAGTTTGAGTGACAATTTCAGACAGATTTTTATGTCGAACACGAAAGAGTTTTTGAACCTAGGTATTACTCGTAGGTTTTTGTTTGTTTTGTTTTTGAATTTCGCGCAAAGCTACACGAGGGCTATCTGCGCTAGCCATCCCTAATTTAGCAGTGTAAGACTAGAGGGAAGGGAGCTAGTCATCACCACCCACCGCCAACTCTTGGGCTACTCTTTTACCAACGAATAGTGGGATTGACCGTCACATTATAACGCCCCCACGGCTGAAAGGGTGAGCATGTTTGGTGGAACAGGGATTCGAACCCGCGATCCTCAGATTGCGAGTCGAGTGCCTTATTCACCTGGCCATGCCGGGCCGATGTTTTTGTTATAAACTGTCATTAGCTTTTTGTTTAAGACTCTAAAGAGTTTAGTTAGTTTAAGAATTCGTCTTAACATTTGTAACCTTTGTAAGCCTTGTGCTTTTTGAGAACTGTTGAAAACCGTTTTTGATAATATCGACAAGTTTTGGTGCAGTGGACATTGGAACAGTGAACTTTTTGTAACCGTACATCCAGCGTGAATTGGAACTTTGAATTTACAACCTGAAGCTGAATTTCGACGTACTACGTTTGAAGCGAATTCGTTGAATTGGAGAGACAGTTCCTACGTGGATATACCAAGAAAGACTGATATTTTTTGTATTGTACTCTTTTGTAAATTATTGTATATAAGTTAATATTTGATGTTTGTGCTTTATTATTTTATAATATATCCTTAAAACTACAAAACTGCAGGTTGTCATTTTTGTTTTTTACGTATTATACAGTACGGTATTACGGGGTCGTAACACCATCAAGATATATTGTTAAAATTCTGTAGTTAACAAATTTTTGAAACCTTTAATTTTAGGCTAAAAAACATACGGTAAGTGTTACAAAAAAACTTCCATTTTTTCCAAGATCTATAGTTGAAGTGATACACAGTAAAAATATTATCAATTCAGGCATATGAGTGGATTGTTCTTCATAAAATAGAGTAATTTATAGGAATCTTCCGATAGTGTCACCCACGGGCAATGGGTAAATTTTAGATGGAATGATTAATCAATATCCAAGGGTAACGGTAGCCCTTGTGGTTCTTCTAGTTCCAGTGGGATGGCGCTTAGTGTTATGTTAGAAGTAATCTTGTAATATCCGTAATTTGTAATAACTCGTAAATTTTAAATTCTGAAATCATTGGCTAAGTTCAGACTAAAGAGAAAAAAGTTTTAGTAGTAAAACTAAATAAAGAATACATGATTGGATTTATCTTTTGATGGAACAATCTACCTATGTACAAGTAGTTAAGCGACATCAAAAACGAAGGGCTTGAGCTGATTATAGTTCAAATATATGAATGTAGACAGGATCCTACTGAAGCGTGAAGTTATTGTTTGCTGAAAGATTAATTCGTAACAGGACGACAGTCAACTCTTTGATGGAATCTATCAACAACTGCCTTGAAAACTAAGTTAGAAACTGTGAACTCTTCATCTGAATGGTCTCAATAAGATCACACATTTCATTTCTAATATTTCTTTGATTTAAGCCTTGTCTGTTAAACTAAGTTTTTATTTCGATACCACATCGTATCACTAAATTCAACCTTTATATTTGTCATTCTACGTACTGTTGTTTATACAATGTATTGCTGAGCTGAATTCAGTGTTATATATATACACACACACACACTTTCTGTGTGATGTACTAATCTTCCTTTCTGTATTTTGGGAAAAAATAAATTCTAAGATTATATAAAACTGCTGAAGCTCGAAATGCTACTTGATAAAAAAAATTGTTATTTTCTTATATATTTGCATAAAATTAACTAATACCTTTCAGACTCATTTGTAGATAATTCACCACCATAAAACTTATACACATGTTTTAAAAGATAACTAAAAGCACTAATGCAACATTATACAGCTATCTCATAAAAGAATAAGTAAAACATTTGACTCAGATCAATTCTTATTGTGCGTAAACGTCACGCTTTAGTTTGAACTAGCGAAAGTACCTGGCTTCGCTCGGATATTAGGTTGATATATTCTAGATGACTATGTCGGTGTGTGTTTTCTGAACCTATTTTAGCATAGAAGAACAGTCAAAAATATTTTAAATATATTTTTATTGCCTAGAAACATAAAAAGTCATAAAATAACAATATTAGGTTATACTTTTGTTGCTAAGCAACATGACATAAAAGACATTGATTTTAATGCACACGTGCATGTCTGTGTATTTATGATTGCCATAGCTCCCAGAGGAAAGAACTTAGAAACCTGAAATATTGCAACTATACCAAATGATCCCCGAGGGTGTGCAACTGGGTATTACTTATCTTATTCACTTGCGTGCACGCATGCACATATTTTCAATGAGGCAAGCTAGCAAAAACCACATAGAAAAGAAATGGTTCCTTATATAACAACAAATAATATATAGAAAAGCCAGTACGTTTTGGTAATAATGCGTTCCAACAATAGCTTTTATGTCATGTCGCTTAGCAACAAAAGTATAACCTAATATTGTTGTTTGACTATGTACTTTTATGATTTTTTAATGTTTCTGGGCAATACAAATACGTTAAAAATATTTTTGACTGTTCCACTATGCTAAAATAGAGCTATGTCGGTCTCACTCCTTTTCTATGTGGTCTTTCAGTAGCTTGCCTTATTAAAAAGATGCGCGCACGCACGTGGCTAAATAATAATACCCAGGTGCACACCCTAAGGGTCCACTTAGTATAGGTACAAAATTTCTGGTCTCTAGGTTCTTTCCTCTCACAGCTATGGTGGTCACACAGACACGTGCGTGAATGTCTGTCTTTCTGTATGTGATTTCTATTTGTAATATAAGGAACCACTTCTTTTCTATGTGATTTTGCGCTAGCTTGACTCATTGAAAAGAGACGCATGTGCACACGCGCGTAGATAAGGTAAGTAATACATAGGTGCACACCCTCAGGGTCCAGTTAGTATGGGTGCAAAATTTCAGGTTTCTAGGTTCTTTCCTCTTGAACTTATGGCGGTCATCCACACACAGACACGCCCTTTTATTATTATAGATGCAAACTGTCGGCTATTTGAACGCTGTCTTCAGATTTGAGAGTTACTTAAAATACACTGTTAAAATGAAATATAAGAACATTATTGTAGAATAATGAAAATATGTGAAGGCATTAAGAAAAATAAATGTTATATTTAAAATTTTGTCCTGGAATATAAAACATCTTTAATTTATGCTAAGTTTCACTATTTTGATTTTTCCATACGTGTTAGTACTTTGAACCTGAATGACACCATTTGCACATAGGTTAAACAGACTATTCAGAGAGCCCAGGGTTTAGGTGTAGTCTTTCCTAATTTTCAATTACTGGCCAGAAAGGAGGCAGTCAGTCAAAATAATTTGCTGCCACTAGAGATTTGTTTGGTTTTATTCATAATAATGGGAATGACTTTCATTCTTATGACGTACTCACTGTTGAAAATGCGAATCGTGTTCTGTGGTGCAAATCTTAGACCTTTCGATACGCAGCCCAACACCATAACTAGATATTATGAAAAACAGCAGTAAGGATTATTTAAGGTAAAATAACATTATTGGATTACACCTTCAAATTGCAAAAAGATGAACTAAGATTTTAAACATTTGTTTGTGAAATATTGAGGCAGACTAAAGGTTTTAAATTTTCCAAGTTTGCTTTCTAGTATTACAATATCACTATGCTTTATTGTTATTATTTCTAAAACAAATGTTTTTGTCGAAATGCACAATACTATTTTTAAGATTATTAGAATCACTAGGGAATTTAGAAAAACTAATTCTGTAGTATAACTCGGTGTTTCAATACATTTATTTGACCCCAAAAGTTATGTATTGTGAGTTTAGATTGTTATTGTTTAAAGTTATGCACAAAGCTACACAATGGGCTATCTCTGTTCGGCCCACCAGGGGTATCGAAACCCGGTTTCTAGCGTTATAAGTCCACAGACATGCCACTGGGGGGGGGGGGGGCGTGAGTTTAGACTTTTATAACTGTTCAAATAAATTTACAACCTTGGGCTTCAATTCAAATATTTTATTCCTCTCTGTTTGGGTTTTCTCTGTACTTCACCCACTTTATAAAAATGCATAACCGAAACGTCTTAATGTACACTATTTACAAATCTAAAATTGTAAAGTTATTTAAACCTACTAAAAATGCTTCAGTTAGCGGTAAAAAAATCGAGAAATCTCTGGTATGTTAGTTGTTTTTTACTAATTTTCTTTTCTCGGATTCCAATCAAACACATTCAGCACGTCAAGCGAGTTTTTATGTTAAGTGTTAGTAAGGTTCTTTTAAACTTCACACCCACAAAAAACCTCAACAGCAAAATTTTCGTTTTAATGCCAATTAAACGTGGTTGAAAAAAAAAACAACTATAAGCTGAACTACCACTTTTAAGTTTGTGGGTTATAAAACCTTATATTTTAACGTGGCATTTCAGCTTGTAATTTCCTATTTACGTTAAAATAGTCTTTATATCTTACAATCTGTAATAAGTTTTACACTATGATATCCGAAACTGGAAAGAAAAATACCAAATGTTTATTGTATGAAGATTCCTTGATTCGTAATCTTCTCACATTAGGGGCTTGCATTGAAAATAAAATACCTTTATTATATTAATATACAATTGTTTGTGGATTCTAACAGTTCTACAACAATATTATGTGGTTTCCACGACACTTGAACTTACTAATATTGTTCCCAATTTAATCTTTAATGAATGATATACACAGTGTAAAAATAAAATTACATTAACAACTGTTATTTAAATATAAACCAAAATTTATTCGGATAATGACTGAAAACTCTGAAAAGCAAACTGATCCACTAGATAAAAGTAAGTTGAACTGCTTTAATAGTTGAGAAAATAAGACATATCTAATTTAAAAAATACAATATTCTATGTTGAAATAATCATCGGATAATTAAGTCAACATATTATGCTTGATTCTGCTTTTACAAATTTATAGCTCCTTCAGTTTTGTAATCTAGTTGATTGAATTTAGATTTTTTTCATCTGTAATATTATTTTATTCGTAAACGTTAATAAAAGGATTATTCATAATTACAGTACAACAGCCTCCAATTTATTACATAACGTATTATAATTTCGAATAGTCTGAAACTAAGTTAAATGATAATTTAGATTTAGAAATTAAATAAATGTTGATATGTATCCAATTTATGATACTTGCCAACAAGATTAATACACAGTTTTTTTAAATACAAATATATTCTAATATACAAACAATAACACAATTTACAATAACGATTATTACAAATAATGATCTATGTACAAACGTTTGACAAACAATATTGAGTCCTCTACCTAGTCTGGAACTTCCTTATCGAGGGTTCACGATGAACAACGAATTAATTTTGAGCTGATATAGATACAATTCACTTAACAGGGAGTTAGCTAGCTTTGTCTGTTATTCACCAGCCACAAACACCCCGAGTTTTCCACGATAAAGTTATATAATGTTTTTGTAAAAATACTCATGTCCGAAGAAAATCCGCTGAAGTTAAATGGTTTGTAATATTCGAAATTTATAAACGTTCCTGATCAAATATCTGAAGTTCCCGATTAATAAGCGTTACAGCAAACACTATAGCTTCAGAGGCTTATAGTACACCAACTATAGCAAACCAATTGGCGCGTCGCGTTGGATATATTTATAGGCGTGAGGAGAGTGTTTCGAATTTCAGCTTACGCAAAAATCTAAACGGTACACCAATGTTTACATACACACATATATTGTTGATTCTTACACTCGAGAATTTTCTATAATTTTAGTGAATAGGCGGAAATTTCGCAATACAGATTTAACAGTACAAGTTATGTATATGTTTAAATATAAAATTAACTTAAACATCATGTTAAAATAGATGCATGATAGTAAATCCGTCAGACAGTGATGTGATAAAAAACTAATTTGTGTAATATGTAGTTACACACACACACACACACACACATATATATATATATATATATATATATATTAGTACTATACTATAATTAGTGTGTG